GGGAACCTGTCAGGTCTTTCTAGCTGCCATGGTCCCCACAAGAACAGATGGTTTGGCCAAAATGGAATGGGTGGGGGTGGGTGTCTGTCTGTCTCAGGGGCATGGAGGGGGTGAGGATGAAAAACATACCCACTTTCTCTTCTGCAGGCTGTAGCTGACAGTCCCAGTTGCTGCCCTGGGCTTGGTCCCAGGGCAGCAGCCAGGGCTGCAAGTACAAGTCCCATTTACTAATGGCTGTTACGGGGAAGGGGCAGGGGCATGAAGCATGCCCCTTCCCCTCTCATCTGCAGGCAGAGGGGAATTGTTTCTCCCTTGCCCTTTCAGCTGCCTCCAGCTATGGCCAACATGGCATCAGCTGGAGACAGGCTGTCTCCTGTGGGGGGAGCAAAGAAGCAATTCCTTATCACCCCCTGACTAGAGACCATGCCTTTGAGACTTTTTTTTTTACTCTCCAGCCAGGGGGCTAGAACTCCAGTATACACCCCCCCCGCCCATCTCACTACATTTTTGTAGTGCCACAAAGTGTTGAGACGCTTTGTAGCACTAGAAATGAATGCCTGTCAACACCCTACGGTGCTTATCACCACAGTACTTCCTTCAAATGGAAGTAAAAAACATTGGGTGAGTAAGAGTGGATGTCTAAGGTGACAGAAATATAAATGTAATGCGGCAGGGGAACAAGGAAGATTTAAAAATCCTTACCACATTCTTCTCCATCCTGGTCATCTATTAAACCGACTGAGACTCCCAAATCCATGCATTTCTTGCTGTGTGCCTTGGACTTCATATGTTTAGTCAAGTTCCCTGAAGAGAAAAACAAAAACTACTTGCTCTCTAAATACACACCCATAAGCTTCTCATATTCTGCACAGATACAAATATCACTACATTTATAATTTGATTTTGTACTGGAACCTTTCCTTCCTGGGTAAATTGCCCACAGCTTTCAGACATTTAATGTCATACACTCTACTTGTTTTCTGGCTGTACTAAATGCAGTCAGTTGTTACTACAGAAATCCTTGGAAATTACATTATTTTGTATTGTGAAAGGCATTGCATTTTTATGGTAATCCATTAAATGGATCGACTGTTGTTAAATTTAGGTTGACAAATGACCACAGGTTGCAGCCTTTTTTTAGCTCCTGATAGACTCTATTTTAACTTACTCCCTTTCAATTGTAGATTCAGAAGCAAAAACTCAGGATTTAAAGTATAAAATTCATTTCTGAATAGAAGATCATTACAAATCTTGTGCATCACTTAAATCCTGCTTCAGTAGGTGTGCTGGCCTTATCGTGGGCTTATGGTAAGAAATGAATTTTACCTAATTATAAAAAAATTAAAAGAACTTATCTTAGATTTCATAAAGGCAAGCCTAATTCCTGCCATGTGCCACAGGATAGATAGTTACTATAAGTCATTTAGAACACCATAGTCAATAATCAGTTTCATTCTTCATATGGAAAAAAAGCAATCACCACCAGAAAGAACATATAAACCATCTCTTGCAGGAATAAGCAATATAGGATTATAAGCACCAATTCACCAATAGCTGAAAAACCTCCTCTGTGACTGAAGCAAGCAAGTTACTTCATTAGCAACAGTCTAGGGACAGGAAGTGAACAAAAATATCTTCTCCGACTAAAGTGACAGGGGAATGTAGGTGGGCAGAATTTAATTACTTAAGTTTGGAAGTTAGCCAAGAAAACCTACTCCTGCAAAGTCTGGCATGGCATCTTTTAACAGCCAGAATTAGTCAGGGCCCCAGCTTGACATTTTATTTAAAAGGATGGCATCATAAAGCAATATGAGCAACCCATACATCATTATGTAGCATGAGGCTTTGACACACCTACTGAATTGCCTATGCCAGTTCCTGCAGTATTTTATTTTTCTTGGAAATCTTCTACCCAAGTCCTGATTAGCCCTAAACCTATTTGATATATGAGGTTTTCTGAGATCACAGCTGGAGGCAATAGTGCTACAAGAACAGTAAGGCACAGAAGTCATCATTTTTAAATCTTATCCTATCTCCTAGTTTTTTGGTTATGAACTCACCCATGTCACATATTAAGGGAGGCATCTTATTTCCAGTTGGTTCTTTGTGTCCACTAGGTATAAGGACACAGATAATGAAATGGAAAGAGAATGCCACCCTAAATCTCTGATTAACCAAATGTACTTACACCATGTGCTTAAAAATAGACATATGGTTCAATAGCTTGCTGCATTGGGCTCTAAATGAAGCAGCTGGTTACATATCTGAGTTTGAGGAGGTTGAGAGTGATGGAAATGCTTTCCATCTGTTGTTTTGGTTTTTTTTAATTAAAAAGTAATCATTTAGCAAAATCCAGCTGTTGAAGTTCATTAAGAAGACATTGTACATTAACTTAACTCCACGGTGATCCTGGGAGACTGTACAGTAGGTTGTGAATTTAGTGAAGACTTGCTATTGTCTCCCTGTGTATGGATAGGGAAGCACTTCATTTGAGGCAAGGCACTCTATTTGAGGCGCTCCAAATTCCAGAGTGATTCAAATTCAGTGCACTTCAAAGCTGTGCATCCCTACCCTCCTTCCTTGGAGCCCTTCAAAATGACCATGAAGACATGTATGTTAAACCACTGGAGGTTTCTGAGGACAGCCAAGTACACAGGAGAGCGCTCATTGGCTGTTTAATTGCTCCTACCTCCCATTGAATGGGGTGGGAGTGAGGTGCAGGGCACTGCAGGATGCTCGAGGACTTTTAGTGTGTACTGACATTTCAATAAGTTCCTTCAAAATGAAGTGCTTCAAAGATATTCTTCTTTTTTAGGGTAATTTTTGAAGCTCTTTGACAATAAATCCCTCTAACCTTCACTCTCTGGAGCATGTCAAAGACATTTGGGAGAGCTTCAAATGGCATATCCATCCAAAGTCTCTTCCTGTCTCTCCCACAATTCCAACCTAAGAAGTAGAGGCAGTTACCTCATTCGCATTCATCATTCATGCTTCCTCATCCACACCTACATTCACTTTGCCTAATACTACTCACTTTTTACCCCTCCATTTCCTACTGCCATACCATACCACCCAGTTTGTTCAGATAGATGGATGTGGTTATCTGCATGTGTATTTAAATATACAGAATAAGAGGAACAAGAAAAAGAAAAGGGGTGGGAGGAGGGGGAGGATGAAGAAACAAGAGCGCCTGTGACCTTACTAAGTACTAGACAATAGGCATGTCTACATGAGACACTAACTGTGCAGTAG